GGGTTCAGGATTGAGGGTTTAGGGTGTAGAGTTAAACCCTGAGCCCCGATGCCATCCCCACGGCAACTACGCCCCCGCAATCAGTTTGACTGCGCTGGTATCCTCGCGGCTCTCGGTCAACCTCTTTGTCTTTGTGCCGGTGTTTGCTGCAATATAGAACCCATATTGCCCTCCTCCCGAAAGCCCCTACATCCCAATACCTAAACCCACTTCAAGAACACGCACACTATGGACCCCCCAAAAATGCCCTCGAACCCGCCCCTTACCATGCTAGACCCCAGAACCCTAAACCCTGAACCCTGAACCCTGAACCCTAAACCCTAAACCCTAAACCCTAAACCTTTAAACCCTAAGCCCTAAACCTCTCAAGTTTAGGGCTGCGGGTTTAGGGCTCCTAAAACGGGTGCGACACGTCCAGTCGCTGCTGGGTCAACGGAAGGCCTCCTCCCGGCCATCCGCGCTGTCGGCGGAGGCAAGAGCTGGAGGCGGACTTGGTGCTTAGGGTTTAGGGCTTAGGGTTTAGGGTTTAGGGTTTAGGGCTGCTTACTGTTCCGGTGTTTTTGAGGGTTTAGGGCTTGGAGTTTAGGGTTTCGGGGTTGAGAGGAAAGGGTTTAGAGTTCAGCGTTTAGGGTCGGGGGGGTTTTAGGGTTTCGTGTCTTCGGGTTCAGGTCTGAGGGAAAATTTAGGGCCCAGCTTTTTTTTTTTCCAAAGGGGGAGTTGGGGGTTTCGAGAAAGCCGAAGCCCTAAACCCTTAACCTGAGACCTTACACTCTAAACCTTGAACCCTACACCCTAAACATTAACTCCTAAACCCAAACGTTAAAGCACCTGAACGCGAAACTTCAGAGCCCTCAAAAAGGTGTTTGGGAGCCGTAGGGCTTGGGTTTCTGCAGTCGGATTTACGTTTTCAAATGGTGCACGGTTTGCAGTAGAGTTTGTAAGGTTTGAATAGGGTTTTTTAGGCTCCTAACTGAAAACGGGCACTGCGGCCCTGCGGCTACGGTTCTGGGATTTGAGTCTTGGTAGGGTGCTTGCAAACACTGTCGATCAGGTTTGTGAGTTTGTGTCTTGAGGGAGGCAGCAGGAAGCCTTCCCTGCGAAGTAGTAGAGGGCACACGTCAAGCAGGGACGCTGAGCTCGCAGTAATCCTTCAGCTTGTGCATTAGGGGCTCACGACTGATCAAGGCCAAACACCATTCCCCCACACACAATTCCCCGACGTCAGATGAATCCGATGCCCCTGCGCCCTGCCACAACGAATGTCATTGTGCCCCCCCACAATAAGTGACGTCCCAGCCCTTTAAGCACTCAGCCCTCCGGTACAGGGTTTAGGGTGTTAGGGATTCGGGTTTAGGGTTTAGGCGTTCAGGGACTCGGGTTGAGGGTTTAGGGTAAATCCTCCGAAGCTCCGAACCCTTCCTCCCAAACTTGAAGACGCCCCCGAAGCCAACTCCGAAATCCACAGGTATAGCCGACCGGCGGGAGTTCCGGTCTGGCAGCAAACCGTGGCTGCAGGAACCCGGCTCTATTGGGGGAGTCGTGGCTTTCAGGTTTGCAGTTTCGGTGTCTGGGGTCTGTGGTGTTGGGATTTAGGGTTTAGCGTTTGGGGTTTGTGCTGTAGGGCTTTGGGGTTTAGAGTTGGGGTGATTTTGCTATTGTGATTGCTGATGATGATGACGATGAGGGTGATGATGATGTTGTTGATGATGATGGTTACGCTTTTTAAAAAGCCGTTCAGGCCTCAAGGCACGCAGCATGCGCCCCTCAAGCTCGATTGGATCCCAGCAGGGTAAGGGGGCGGGGGTTTACAGGCTTCGCTCGAAGTACCTGCCGAAGAAAAGCGGCCCTGTTACAAGCACCACCCAGACCGGGATACCTACCCTACGCGAACTGGGCAACAGTTAGGATAGCCTTAGGCTGGGGCTTCTAAGGAAGAAGAGCTGAAGGTAGCAGTTCAACGGAGCTCATTGCTTCATGCCATCAAGGGCTTCAAGGCTCAGCCAAGCCGGGCGCCTCGAGCCCTGCATCTTAGACTCTTAGACTTTATGAAATATTGTAAGAACATTTTTATGCACTTTAAATTGACCCGTAGAGAGCTGTAGGAGAACTCACAACCACTTCACCCTATGCCACACCCTAAACCCTCAACCCTAAACCCCAAACCCTAAACCCTAAACCCTAAGCCCTATCAAAAGCTCTCAGCCCCCAAACCCTCGTAACAGCCGGGCAGGAGCAGTTCACTCCGCGCGCGTGTGGCTCTCCTTCGTCAGCCTCAGCGCATTGGCTGGAAGGAGGGTTTAGGGTTTAGGGTTTAGGGTTTAGGGTGTGGGGTGTAGGGTGTAGGGTCTGAGGTGTGGGGTTTAGAGTTTAGGGTCTAGGGGTTTCTTTAGCAATGCGACGTGGGCCTTTTTGCGTCCTTGTGCGTTAGGGTTCCGGGGGTTTCGGGTTGAGGTGTGGGGCTCCGGAGCCGAGACGTAGCTTTAGCTTCAGAGTTCGGGATCACTTTGGGGGGCCTGAGGGTGCAGGGAGCCAGGCTCTGGGTCGAGGTTTAGGGCCGAGGGCTCCGGGGGTTTTGCAGCTGTGCCTAGTCGATAATGCTGTAGTGTTAATTAGAGGTTAATTTGGGCTTTGGCAAGTGTCTTTCTGAGTTTTGCTGGGGCGTTGAATGCTGCTTTGCTGTGTCTGTGTTAAAGTCTTGGTTTGCCTTTCTCAGGTTTAATGGGGTTGGGCTGATGGGGTTTTTAGTGCAGTTGTCTGAATAATCCGTAGCGATGTCCCGTCGTAGCCTGGTCGCCATGCTGGAATGTGCTCCCCCCAAGGAGGTGGTCAACTCATATTACGAGAGTCTTACGAGATTTCGGCTGCAGATTTGTATTGTTTTGAAATCCGGAGCCGAGGCTACTTGGACCCTCTCTCCTTCGTTCTGCTGACGGCCTTTGAGGCACGAACGCCTCCGGAAACTCAAGAAGATGATACCCTGATATGCCAGAAGCAGACCCTCAATACGAAATCAACCCCAAACCCTCTAAACCTTCGAATTCCTAGTGGGCCCCGAAAAGAAAACCCGAGCCGTTATAGGCCCCTTTGTTGCCCTAAACCGAAACCCTGAACCTTTGAAGGACTCTTTATAGGAAGGCAGCTTTAAAGCTTCTGTGCTCAAGCCCTGAACCCGCCAACCCGGGGCCCTAAACCCTAAGACCCTCAAACCCATGAGCCGAAAACCCTAAACTGAAGGCCGGCCCCCCACCGCAGCGATGGGGGCCGGCCGCAGCAGGCGGACCGGAAGGCGCCTGCGGGA